GGTGGAAAACAGAACAGTGTCAGAAACACAAAGCCCCGTGTGCACAGCTGTGGGACACTGACCTACAAACTCTGGAGTTCCAAAGATGTTTTTAAAATCGTTGCCAAAATCGATCTTGTGGGCGAGTCCGAAGTCGATGATCTTGATGCGCGGGTGAGGCACTGAGCGGTTCAGCAGCATGATGTTCTCCGGCTGCAGAGGAGCAAAGAAAATTCATCAGCCGAACCAGACGGGAACTGGACTTACTCACAGGCTGGACTTATAATTATTATTATTTATAATCTAATAATTCCTGAATAATCAGGCCTGTCTCATCTTAAAGACTACCTGTTATCCAAACAGACGCTATGAGTATTTAACAGTAAATGGGAGGCGGAGCCTTCAGCTGTCAGGGGCTCTCTTATGGACTCAGCTCTACTTTCAGGCTTCAAACTGTCTTTGTTGAGCAAACATGTGCAGCTCTGGACTTCCTGTGATTTTCCATGATGCACACAACACTTCTCCTCCTTTCACTCCACATGTGTTTACATTCAACAGCTGCATGTCATCAACCTTTATCTCTCACACAGTTCAGGTTGTCTCTCTGCGGTTCCTCTGCAGCAGGCTGGTTGCCAGACAGTGCTGCTGACACCTGATCGTCTCTCTAATATTGACCTTTCAGGGAACTGTTATGAATCGACTGTAAAAATCTAACTGAACTGAAGCGATTAGACAGAGGAGGAGGTGACATTTCCATAAAGCACGTCCATCTGCCCGCCATGATTTCAATGAAAAACAGCTCAGACGTCCAGAGACAGAGCAGACGTGTGCAGGAAACACAGCGTGTCCTGTGTGTGCAAATAGAGGAGGAGGCAGGAGCACACAGGAAGAGTCTGGCAGGAAGCAGGCTCATCAGGGATGGAAATCCCATGCAAATCATGAGTGGAAACCTCTCGAGGAAGTGGGAGAAAGGATAGAAAGCCAAAGACGAGCTTTAGACGAGTCCGCGTTCCCTTCAGGTCTCGTCCTTTCAGCACGATTACGAGCCTGGGATTCAGTGCGGGGAGGAACAGATTGGCTGTGGGCAGCGCTGACAACAGCTCGCCCGCTCTGTTCTCTGCTCCACCAACAGCGCTGTTTATGCTCATGTTTATGCTGGAGTGAAGGAAGATGATCCAATGTGGGTTACAAGCTGTTCCAGGTCTGCATCGTGTGGACACCTTACACCAGGAGCAAAGTGGAAACTGCGACAAGGCGGCGAACGCAAACACAGACACGATCGGTAAACACAGACAGAGCCGACGCGTCAGAGCCGAGTTTTCATTTCATATACTTTCCAGTAAATGAGCAGGTGACTCTAAACGATTATGGCCTGAATGATTATACGCACCGAGTTCACAGGTCACGTTACGGTCTCTAACAGCTGATTGGAAAAGAAAACTTTTGCATTTCCTTATAAAAGCAGCGTAAACAGCCTCCAACTAAAACTCACAAAACATCTTATGAAGCGTCATATGACCAGAACACGGGTGGAAATATAAAAGACGCCTGACTTTAGTGGGATCAGTAAGTAAAGTATATTAGATGAAGTCTGAAGCTGAGCAGTGAATACCGGCGGCTAATACGCGGAGCGGAGGCTGCGGTGCTCGGTAAAAGCTCCGGCATTGATCACGAGCGGCTGAGCTCAGAGGTTATCATTATCTGCAGGCCTGAGGCCAGCGTGTCCCAAACTGTGATGTACGAGGACACCAGGACGCCACGCAAGTGGAAAACTGATCAATGATAATGACGAGACACAAACAAAGAACACTCACAACCAGAAACACTGGAGCTCGTCCAGCAGGGAGGAAACATAATGTGCTGCACCGTGCCGAGTGCTTCCTGACCTCTGCTCGTCCCTCTGGAACACTGTCCACTAACAACAGAGACCTTAAACAACAGATTAGTCATGACTATGAGCCCAGAGACACAGAGAGAAACCAGAGTGGTCAGAAAGATGCCACCGTATCGTTATCAGCGCTCCAGTCAGCTGACGGTCAGGAGCAGGACACTCCGAGGGTTTCACTGAGACACAAACACACGAGCGTCATCTCCCAAAGTGTTCTTAGAAAACCGTGACAAACCTTTGGTTCTCGTGTTTAAGGACGTTAATGAGACGAATCCCTGGAAAACCGAGACAAACTATTGAACATCACACAGCCAGTTAGTTAGCATGTAGGAAGTGCATTTGAAAGGCGCGCTCACTCAGACACGTGGTTTGTGTCTGAGTGCGTTTATCAGGGCTCCAGTTTGGTTTTTATATGTGCACAGTTTTATTTATCGATGGCACACTCTAAATGTTAATGATGGTTTCAGTCGTTTTATCCCAACTAAACATGAACGGATCCGTTTTCATCGTCAATTTTCTCTTTATGTTTGAATATTTGGCGAATCTCCTTCTGTTTCACTGGACAGCGTCACAGTGTAGAGGCAGGAAGTGGAAATCATCTTAAAGCATACATATATTTCCCGACACAGCAATGAGCCAAGATCTGGAAAAACCTGGA